CTGAAGAAAGTTATAGCCATAAGTAAAATCGCTGCTCATGCGCTGCCTGCAGCTCTGTCGGCAGCGCTGCCCGCAGCTGTTGTTGTTGTTCCTGCGTTGCTCCAACTTTGTGCTGCATACATACACGCATATAAACACGCATGCTGTTAAAACTGAACATAAACATGAATTCTAATTTAATTTAATTAATTAATTAATTCATTCATTTTTTTTTAAATTTAATTTTTTAAAAAAATTTTTTTTTTTAATTGTTCTTTTTGTGGAGAGTACAGGCTATTTTACTGCCGGGCTTGCTCGACTGTAGCGTTCTCTCTTGCTTTTAGATAGATTTAGACAAAGTCTTCAAACCACATCCAGCAACAAATAGCTTTGTGCTCCCACTAACCAATCATCTTGAAGCTACCACGCCTATCGTATTCCAAGCAGGAGAAGTTAAGGTCCAAGTTTAATAATAAAATGGGAATATTATCCTCAACAATGGAGCAAAATCTGTCATCACAATGATCCATAAAGCCGGAAAGGACAAGTCTAAGCCACCATCATATAGACCTATCAGTCTCCTGTCGTGCCTATCGAAGATATTCGAAAAACTGCTACTGAATCGCATCAAACAGAACCTACATACCAATTTGGTTTTCCTGAAAAACATGGAACCATTGAACAAATCAACCGAATAATAATAATTGAAGCGCAACGACTTTTGAGTTTAAAAATAAAAGCACATTGTTTGAACTATATTCACGGCATACCGCCGCCTCTTTCTTATTGGGTCGCCTTAGCACTTTGGGGGCCTAATAAACATTAAAACATCGACTATGGCCAGCGAGTATACCCGCGGCAGAATATACAACATTACATACCATCCAATTGAATCTGGTGTACCCCAAGGAAGCGTGCTTGGACCGACACTGTATATCATAAACACAGCAGATATACCGACAGTCATACAACAATTTCGACATTTACTGATGATACATCCTAAGTCGCTCCAAGTGCCCAACAAGAGCTACAGAACTCTTATCATCTCACCTCGTGGCCACAGAAGAATGGCAGACTGGCGCATGCATGTAAACGAGCATGTTGTCGCTACACAACATCAATACAAACAAGTAAAAAAGCTAAAGTCGGGTGTCCCGACTTTGAAATACTCTGTACATATGTTTACAATAATTATAGAAAATAAAAAAAAATTAAGAAAATAAAAAAAAATTTTGATCGGTTTTACCTCTCTCGGTATTCGAACTCACGTATGGGGTTTATAATTGCACATTTACATAGCAATTGCGTCTGTGTGAGTGTATGTATGCCTATGCGCATCTATTCGTGTCTGTGTAAGCATTTTCGCAGTCAACCAAACAGCAACATCAACAACAGCCGCGGGCAGCGCTTGAGCAGCGCTGCAGCATCAAATATATTTATGGCTATAACTTCTCGTTAAATCGGTCTATCATAGTGAAACTTGGCATACGGACACATAATAACCAACTGGGGGTATTTCCAAAATTTTAGTTCGAAATTCCAAGAAGTTACGATTTTCTGGGTAGAGGGGGGAGGGAGGGAAATTCCAAAATATACATTTTCTGCGTATTCACATAAGGCATCTGGGACTAAAATTGGTGTTCCTAGGTCTTATAGTCTCCGAGATATAGGCGATTATACGAATGGAAAATCGGGAAAACCCCATAGGGGGGAAAATCAAAAAAATAAAACAAACTCGTATAGAATACACACATAACGCATCTTTGTGCAAAATTTGGTGTCTCCATCTCTTATAGTCTCTGAGATCCAGGTGTTCATACGGACGGACAGACAGACAGGGCTAGATCGACTCGTCTCGTCATGCTGATCAAGAATATATATACTTTGTGGGGTCTGCCACGCCTCCTTCTGCCCGCAAAACTAATATACTTCTGTACATTTCATGTACAGAGTATAAAAACCAAAGTAACATACCTTGGTGTCCATTTGAATAGACGGCTTACTTGGCGCAAACACATTGAAGCGAAGAGAGATCAACTGAAACTAAAAGCTATATTAATCTACATTGGCTTATAAACGTCCGTTCACCACTAAAACTGGAGTACAAAGTATTCTTATACAATGCAGTTCTCAAACCAATTTGGACATATGGATCTGAGCTATGGGGAAACGCATCCATTAGTAACGTAGAGTTAATCTAGAGAGCTCAATCGAAAATTCAGAGAACCATCACTGGGGCACCCACGTACATATGGAGTGAAAATATCCTGAAAGCAATAACAGTTAGGACCGCAATTTAAATATTTAATTGTAATTTATTAAATAACTATATTACAATAAGATTTGACTACTTATCGTAAGTCTCCGAGAGAGAAGATTCGATAAATAAAGAAAACTTTACCCTTTTTACCCTTCAGGTACAGGGTATAAAAATTTTATGAATGGCAAGTTGCTGCTGTTGTACATCGCTAGAACACACATAGCGTAACAATTTCAGTCCAGTACTATGCCTACAAACTGCAACATCAAGTTCGCTCTTCTACTTCCTTTTGCTTCCGCTAGGGACGTGCCGGAAGATTGTTTGGATACAGGGTATTTCACTGTCGGGATTTCTTGACTGTAGCGTTTTTAATCAATACTCAAAATGACCATTAACTTCTACAACCATGTTAAAAGCAAAACAATTCGTGTGTGTGTTTTTTTTTTTAATTTTTATTGAGTTTCATTACAACTCGGCTTGTGGTTTTTATACTCTGTACATGAAATGTACAGAAGTATATTAGGTTTGCGGGAGCTGAAAAATGTAACAGGCAGAAGGAGGCTTGGCAGACCCCACAAAGTATATATATTCTTGATCAGCATGACGAGACGAGTCGATCTAGCCCTGTCTGTCCGTCTGTCCGTCCGTATGAACACCTGGATCTCAGAGACTATAAGAGATAGAGACACCAAATTTTGCACAAAGATGCGTTATGTGTGTATTCTATACGAGTTTGTTTTATTTTTTTGATTTTCCCCCCCACTTCCCCCCTATGGGGGTTTTCCCGATTTTCCATTCGTATAATCGCCTATATCTCGGAGACTATAAGACCTAGGCACACCAAATTTTAGTCCAAGATTCCTTGTGTGAATACGCAGAAAATGTATATTTTGGAATTTCCCTCCCTCCCCCCTCTCCCATACAAATCGTAACTCCCGTAATTCTTGGAATTTCGAACTAATTTTGCAAATACTCCCAGTTAGTTATTTTGTGTCCGTGTGCCAAGTTTCACTATGATAGACCGATTTAACAAGAAGTTATAGCCATAAATATATTTGCTGCTGCAGCGCTGCCCGCGGCTGTTGTTGATGTTGCAGTTTGGTGGACTGCGAAAATGCTTACACAGATACGAATAGATGCGCATAGGCATACATACACTCACACAGGCGTAATTGCTATGTAAATGTGCAATTATAAACCCTTTACGTGAGTTCGAATACCGAGAGGGGTAAAATCGATCAAATTTTTTTTTTTTTTTCTTAATTTTTTTCATTTTCTATAATTATTGTAAACATATGTACAGAGTATTTCAAAGTCGGGACACCCGACTTTAGCTTTTTTTACTTGTTAATATAACTGGCGACGGCTTTTACTTTTTCCGATATCAACATAGTATTATGTTCATCTACGACTTTTAGTTTAATTTTCTGCAATATATATAAATGTCAATAATTTCTACGTGCCCAAACACATATTACCTGTAATTAAAGCGATTTTTTCGAAAACGGGCAAAAACGGACAAAGGAGACTTACTAATTATGAATCTGTGTACTTTTGTTAAGACATTGACATTGTTAGCTCCACGCTCTGACACGCCCTGCGAAAGTAATACTCCGCAAAACAATTACTTTTGTTATACATCCCTGCTAAATAGACACACACAAAATACTGGATAACACGAACACACATACATTGACGTCACGATATGGCTTAGAAATTGATGCTACATACCTTGATCTTTGCTTTCCATACTTATGCTTTTATTTTTAAACAAATAGAACCACTTTCATGAAAATTTTCGATTTTATGCCGCTGTGGGACCATAGTGCCCTGTACCTAAAGGGTGAAAGGCTATACTAGTTTTGGCTATATATTCTTTTTTACCATGCCAAGTTTCATCATGATAGGTCAATTCTGAAGAAAGTTATACCCATAAATATAATCGCTGCCCATGCTCCGCCTGCAACTCTGCCCGCAGCTTTTGTTGTTGTCGCTGCTTTGGTTCAACTTTGCATACATACACGCATATAAACACGCACAGACACGATTCTGATGTAAATGTATGCTGTTGAAATATTTTAACGAGAAAAACATTCCAGTTTTAAGTGGCCAGCAATGAGGCCGGGCCTTAATCCAATTGAGGATCTCTGGGGTATTCTATCCGCTGAAGTGTTCAAAAATTGCCGGCAGTTTGAGACAGCAAAAGTGCTTAAATTGGCAATAAATTGACCTATCCCACTAAAAATCATTGATTAACTCCATGCCATTTCGCTTAAGTTCGGTAATAATGAATAGTGGAAAGCCTATTAGTTATTAATTTCACTTCATTACCAGTATATCGAATTTAATTCATTTAAGTTGATTAAACCCAATAAGTTGAGCATATCATGAAAAGTCACATATAATTATTTATAATGAAGAAAAAGTTTACATTAAGATTTATATGTATTGAAATACGATTTCTTTAACTTTTTTCTTATTTTTTGTTTTCCATTACTATAAGCAATAAAACTGCAAACCTAAATTTTTTTACTTGCACTTTTAAACTTACAAAAATATAAGATCAAAATTTTTTTTTTTTAATTTTCTTAATTTTTTTTTATTTTCTATAATTATTGTAAACATATGTACAGAGTATTTCAAAGTCGGGACACCCGACTTTAGCTTTTTTACTTGTTTTTAATTAACAAATAGTTAAGCAAATAGCATTCGCAAAATTATCCATAGCTAATTAAAATACATATTCTTTGGAGAGATCAATTTTTATTCATTTACACTATTTACATTAAAAACAAATTCTTGTCCCTAATCGTGATTTGAATAATGTTTACTTGTGATAAAATAAACAAATCTTATAACAATTATCAGGAACTCTGAATAATATCACGAATTCAAACCACCCATGTTGCTCTTACTACGGAAAAGAAACATATATGCTTCGCAGAGAGCATTACTTTCATTTTACGGATGCAAAAAATGAAACCAATTAGTTGCTCTTCTTGCAGCACACCCGGCTATTTGAGCATAAAAAGCTACAATAATATTTAAACACAATATTGAAGAAAAACAGGGTCGGCACTTCTTCAACCCAAATCTACATCTGCAGGTAAAGAACTGGCATGGATAATTTGCAACGTCCTGCGCGTGTAGTCTAAGGGTTCTGGCTCTACACCAATATCCTTATGATTAATCGCCACATCCATTGCCAATCCATCGTGATTGTTGTCATTATCATCCAAATCTTCTGTAATCTCAATGGTTATGGGCAGGTACACGTGAAAAGGACGCTGGTCCTTCAGCCAGGGCGCTAAGAATATATGCATAGCTGTCATGCGCTCTGTATAGTTTTTTTTCAATAGCGATAATATCAGCCACCGTACCGATTTAGAAAGCGAAAGTGGTATGTGAACATTACCATGTCGTATGACCGTTATTAAATTACAGTTGCCTTTCTCGTAAAAGGGGTACTGACCCACTAACATGGTGTACAGTATAACGCCAAGCGACCACATATCTGCCGGCTTACCATGGTAAGTTGGCTGTGGACATAGTAATTCTGGAGCAGTATATAAAGGACAACCGATTTTGTCGCTTAGTGTGTCATCGTTAGCATCGTCAAGGATCATGGAGCCCTCCAACGATTCATATTGTAATTTTGTTCTGAAAAAAATGATATACCAATAAATAAATAATTATTATAAATGGTTGTACTTGTGTGGGGTACAAATGTTAACTTTAAAGAGGTGTATAAGTATAAGAACAGGATTGTGAGTCCTATAACTATAAAAGAAGCGAAGTAACCTGAGTTGTTTGTTTTGTATATGGGGTCTATAAATGAAAGGGAATCTGTACAATTTGCAGAATTCCCATTTTTTGATTTAAGCAATGTTACCGCTTCTGTTATAGCAATTATTTTTTATGATAAGACAAAAGAGTAGTATGAAAGCACCTCCGATCTTATGCAATCAGTTTCTGTTATGATGGCGTAGGAGGTAATGTAATTAATTTGTGAGATGTCTATGAGTATATACTTATGTATGAGTCTGTTTTCTTTGGTTTTCTTTTGTATACCCTGTGCATGAAATGTACAAGAGTATACATATTAGATGAAAAATTGTCGCATATTTCGATGTCCCGTGCGACATTAAAAAACATAATTTGTTATTAGTGAGTCGACACTGAAAGCAGAAAGCTAATCAAATATTGATCACAGATAGAAATGATCAATACAATTAATTTTTACTCCCTGCACCCAAAGGGTAAAAGGCTAAAGAGGCAGACCCCACAAAGTATATACGTATATTATTGATCAGTATGAGAAGACAAGTAGATATAGCTATGTATGTATGTCTGTATGTATGAACGCAAGGATCTCAGCAAGTACAAGAGCTAGAATAACCAAACTTGGTATTCAGGTTCTCCTGTTTATTTTTTCTGATACACCCCCACTATTCGTAATTCGTGTTTTTCCATAACTCCCGTAATTCTTAGAATTCGCATTGTACATGAGCACTTATGTATGTGTGCACGTGTTGCAATTTTTGTATTTAATTAAATTTGTAATTTATTTTGTTTGTGGGGTGGGTACAGGGTATGTATTTAAGAGTTTAGCCCGCCCGACTTTAGCATTCCATTGTTTATATTTAATTTAATTAATTAATTATTTTTAAATTATTATTTTATTTTTAGAAGCAGATTTAAAGAAATAGGGAAGTGGATCTAAAGACATCACCATATTAGAAAATTGCAAACTAGTTCAGCAAATATTTTTTCTATATTAAAAAGATATACCTCATGGAAAAAAGAATATGTGCATAGATATTTTTTTAAATAAAATAAAGCAATAAAGCAAACGATCAAATAAAACAAGTAGAGAAGCTAAAGTCGAAGGAAATACTCTGTACATATGTGTGGAATAATTATGCGTGTATATGTGTGTGTCTGTCTTGATTGCGGAAGAGAGGGAGGAAAATTCCAAAATACACAACAACTTTTTGTTCCCAGCTTTTATAGTCTCTGAGATATAGGCGATTATATGAATGGAAAATAGGGAAATCACCCCATAGGAGGGAAGTGGGATGGGAAATCAAAATCAAACAAAAGAAAACAGGATAGAACGCTACAGTCGAGCAAGCCCGACAGCAAAACAGCCTGTACTCTCCACAAAAAAGAAAAATTAAAAAAAAAATATTTAAAAAAATGTAATTATTTAAAAAAAGTTAAATTAATTTATTAAATTAATTAAGAAAATTTATTCAATACATACATAGAAGACATGTTTATGTACAGTTTTACATTTACATCACGTGTCTATGTGTATTTATATGCGTGTATGTATGCAGCACAAAGTTGAACCAAAGCAGCAACAACAACAACAGATGCGGGCAGCGCTGCAAGCAGAGCATGAGCAGCGATTTTATTTATGGCTATAACTTTATTCAGAATTGACCTATCATGATGAAATTCGGCATACGGACACATAAGCACTAACTGGACGTTACCAAAACTGATTTCAAAATTCCAAGAATTACGGAAGTTATACAAAAAACACGAATTGCGGGGGAGTGGGGGGGTATATCAGAATAAAAAATAAACTTGACCTGCCTAGGGCTTAGGGGAACCTGGATACCAAGTTTGGTAATTCTAGCTCTTGTACCTTCTGAGATCCTTGCGCTCATACAGACGGACGGACGAATATAAGGACATGGCTAAATCGACTCGGCTTGTCACCCTGATCAGGAATATATATACTTTGTGGGGTCTGCCACGCCTTCTTCTGTGTGTTACATACATTTGCACAAAACTAGTATAGCCTTTCACCCTTTGGGTACAGGCTATAACAAACTTGCACACCAGAGAACTGAAACGGGTATGTTCGATCACCCTTGCCGAAATTTCGTCAAATCAGATCATTGATTGGTTTCAAATGCGTTCGAACGAGCTAAGTACTCTCAGCATTGTTTTTTATGATCGAACCTGAATGAGCAATCGTTCTATTTTACACAAGCATCGGACTTGATTGGTTTGCTTTCAAACAGTTCAGGCTCGGTCATTTCGTTTAAGATGACTGGGTCCTGATCGAAACAAACCAGAGTTTCGAGAATGAGCATTTGGTAAAACGTGTAAAGTACTGTTATTGCTCAAGTCTTGTTTGGGTATTGCGCGAGTTGTACTTGGGTATTACTCGAGTATTACGCAGGTTTTACCCGAGAATGTCTCGAGTATTGCGCGGGTTTTACCCAAGTATGACCGTATAAAAAATGCATGTATGCACATATTTATGTATTTGCATTTTGCAATTACATATATGCGCAAACATGTGTATATGTATGTACGTTTTTTAAATAAAGAGGCACAGAATTGGAACAAAACATACAAGGAGCGTTCCAAAGTAAACATGACTTTTTGAATCTAGTGCCCCCTGGTGGCGCTATCTATATGTCGACTGGTGCGTTAGAATCTGCTATCTTTATCGATTGTCCGATTGATCCAGTGAGAATTTCATAACATTTCATCGATTGGAAGTGAAGTTATTGCGTTTTAATTGTCAGTATGTTCGTGTTATCGGTGCGAAAATGAGCTTTGAAGAAAGAGCCAACATTACATTTTGTTTTAAAATTGGAAAAACTTTTACCGAAACGTTTCAATTGATGGAACAAGTTTATGGCGATTATTGCCTATCCCGTAGTAGAGTGCACGAGTGGTTTCAACGTTTTCAAAGTGGTCGTGAGGACATAAATGACGATCAACATGTGGGCCAATCAAAATTCGTGATCACCGAAAATTCCATCGAATCCGTGCGTGAATTCATCACAAATCAGCCGAAATCATCATTGAAATTGATGGAAATGGAATTGAACATCTCCAAAACATCAATTTATCGCATTTTGAACGAACATTTGGGCTTACGAAAGCTATGTGCACGGTTTGTTCCGCACAAATTGACTGACGACCAAAAATTGCTCAGACGATCGACGCTTGTGACCGATTATTTGACCAAAAATCACATTTTAACCATTAACCACTCGCCGTATCCACCTACCTTCTACCTTTTCGGAAAAATGCATTTGCCCGTGAAAGGAAAGCGTTATGCAGACGTAGAGGCTATTCAAACGGCTTGCACCGGCATACTGGCGGCCATCGAGCTAAAACATTCGTTCGACAGCTTTTGGATCGTGCAAAAAGCTGTATTAAAGCTGAATAAAATAAATTGATTTTGCTGAAAAACCATTTGTTCTGTTTTTTTTTTTTTTTTAAAAGTCCTGTTTACTTTGGAACGCAAATTGTATTTATTTATTTTTATATCTCTATATATATAAAACAGTTTGTCCTGACTGACTGACTGACTGACTGACTGACTGACTGACTGACTGACTGACTGATTGGCAATCAACGCACAGCCCAAACGGTTAGAGCTCTCACAAAGAATACAAAAAAAACTGTATACTTGGATTTTCAATATTTTTCCTGCGGCCTGAATAATAATGATTTTCCGGTGGAAAATTCGGTAAACGAAAAGCTATGTGCAATCAACGCACAGCCCAAACGGTTAGAGCTAGGAGGCTGAAAATTGGACACATGTTGTCTTCAGTGGTGTAGGTGAGCACTAAGAAGCGGTTTTGGAAAATTCGAACGCCAAAGGGGGGAAAACGGGCTCCAACGTTTGTATGAAAAATCTACAATTTTCATCCAATTAACTTCAAACTTAGTTTGTATACTCTCAAAAAGAATACAAGAAAAACTGTATACTTGGTTTTTCACCATTTTTCCTGGGGCATGAAAAAGGGGGGGTTTTCCGTGGAAAAATTGAAACACAATCAACACCCCACAGCCCAAACGGTAAAAGCTAGGAAACTGAAATTTGGGCTCAAGTATCCTATCATGGTGTAGATGCGCACTAAGAAGGGATTTTGGAAAATTCGAGCTCCAAAGGGGGGAGAAGTAGCTCCAAAGTTTGTTTGAAAATTCTGCATTTCTGAATCGATCAACTTTAAATTTGGTTTTTATAATCTATAAAAGAATACAAACAAAACTGCATACTCGGTTTTTTGAAATTTGTGTTGGAGCTTGAATTATTGGGGTTTTAATATTTATTCATTTTTTCAAATGAAAAGTTTGTGTTATAAATTTTGTCCGATCGATTTCAAATTTGGGTAATATAATCTACGTAACTAAAATTACAACTTTGCATTTAACGATTTTTAAAATATGCATTTTACAAATGCAGGCAGAACAAACAATACAAAATATCAAACAGTTGGGGACAACTAAGTATACATACACACACACATACATACATACATACAAGCAGCTGTTCGTGTAGTTGCGTGCAAACGGTTGAAGTAGCCAAAGCAAAATGTGAGACACTAATGTGTGAATGTTCATTTGTACATACATACATACATATGTATAAAAGTACATTCGTCTTGCACTGACAGGGCAAGAAATGTTAATTAATTAAAAATTATTAACATTATAACATAAACATTTTTATGGTATTTTTTCTTTGTTTAGTACATTTGGCATAAGGGATTTTAGGACAACGGACTACAAGGGCGTACGCAGGTTGGGCAGGGGGGACATTGCTCCCCTTAGAAAGAATTTCGCATTATGAATTACACCAGAACCATATGTATTACATACGTACATACATATATACA